GGAGCCATCCACTCCACTGTCTACAGGTCTTCATGCCTCCACATGAGGCTTACTGGATCTGCTGAGGGGAAAGGGCCTATATACCTGGGTTCGAATCCCTGCCCTACCACCAGCATGCTCTGTCAACTTGGACAAATGACTTCTCTTTTCTGAGCCTCAATTTCTTTGTCTGTAAATTGGACAGAACACTAGCATCTGCTTTACAGGGCTAGGCTGATGGTTAAATGAGTGCATGGTATGGAGCAGGCACTCAAGTTGCATCGGTTATTTCATGCTTGAGTGTGCCAGGCCCTGAGGAGGAAAAATAGTTTTGGGAGGTTGAGGATCTGGGCTGCAGAGTGGCTCTGCTCCTGATTCGCTGCGCTACCTGAAGCCTGTCCCTTGTCCTCTCTGGGACTCAGTTACCTATTTAGACCATAAGGTGGCTATCTAGGATTCTGTGATGCCAAGATTCAGGTGCTACATTCACAAGTAGAGAGAAGGGTTGCCAGGATCCCATACTGATAAGTTGGTAAAATATTCATTCTCGAACTGGGCTCTGGAGCCAAAATACCCTTGACCCTTGAACTGTTCCAGCCACTCCCCACTCTGGCTGAACCTGGAAGAATCTAGACTTTTCTCCCCAGTGCCCAGGCTTCATCTGAGCAGAACTCCCAAATGGTGGATAGTAGAATATGGTGATTAAGAACAAATGTCCTGGCCGGGCACAGTGGCTCACGCCTGTAATCCTACCACTTTGGGAGGTCAAGGAAGGTAGATTGCTTGAACCCAGGAGTTCAAGACTAGCCCTGGCAACATAGGGAGACCCCTGTCTCTACAAAAAATAAAAAAATTAGCCGGGCATGGTAGCATGTGTCTATAGTCCCACTGTGAGCCTGGGAGGTCAAGGCTGCAGTGAGCCATGGTTGTGCCACTCCACTCCAGCCTGGGCGATAGAGTCAGACTTTGTCTCAAAAAAAAAAAAAAAAAAAAAAAGATAAGAAAAATCAAAAGAATGAAGGTTCTGAACCTGTCTCCTTATCTGTATAATGGTGGTCCTACCTCATAGGACTCAAGCTGTGAAGGTCATAGTGGTAACAAAATTGCCACACATATGTATAAGTGTGATCAGGAGCCAGTGTCCAACCCATCAGATAGCAATTACACAGTGCCCCACCATGAGCCTAAACCCCTACTCCCCACGCCTAGGCATCAGGGACTCCCAGAAGTCTAAAGAGGTCCAGCCTGGCACATCCAGAACTCTCTCCTTCCTGTTCCAGCCCCTTGCCTCTCCTTTGTCTGTGAGCTGGGTCTCCTGGAATTCACTGCTGCCCAGTGGGCATCTGAGGCCCCTTCTCCTCCTCCAGGGCCGGAAGTTTGCCTGGCACTGTTGCCCGCCCAGAGAATACAGCAGCTGGATGACATCATGGAGATGATGGTCTTGCCTAACTAGTTTGCCGACAGCTCCTCAGTCCCACTCCTAGGGCTGCTGGCCATGACCTAGGGCATCTCCAGTTCCACACATAAGGAGGAAGATCACAGCCCTCAGATCCAGCCAACTCAAGCAAGAAACAATTCATCTCTGGGGACTCCATGCTCCAGCTTCACCTGCCTGTCTGTTGCCCAACAAGGCCCTCACAATCCTACTTCCATTCCCTTGCTCGTGCTGTTCACGTCTCTAGGATGGTAGTGTTGTCCGGGGAGAGGAGGTTTAGAGAGCCCAAGGCACAGCTCCTCCACTGTGTATATGAGGAAGCTGAGGCTCCAAGAGGCCAAGCCTAAACAGGGCGGAGCCAGGGGTAGGACCCGTCACCCTTGTTGCCTCCTGACCCCAGGCCTGGGGGGTCTTCTTTGCAGAACCCTGACTGGGTGGAGGGTTAGCCAGGGTGACTTAGGGATGCAATGCAGACAGTTTGGTAAAATAATCATTCTTGGCTCCAGGCACTGCCTCTGCTGCCATTTGCCACTTGGGCTCTGGAGCAAAATATGACCCCTAGCCTCTGAGTTACTCCAGTCACTTCCCATTCTGTGTTTCCAGGGTTGAAACTGGAAGAACCCAGAGTAGACCCTTTCTGTGACCGCCCCTTCCCCTAGGAAGACTTGAAGCAGTCCAGTCCAACCACCACATTTTACAGGGGACAGGCTGAGGCCCAGGCCTCCCTGGTGCCCACGAGATACATTCACCCTGCTCACCTGGCATTCAGAATCCTTCGTAAAGAGAACCACCCACATTTCCTGCTCCACCCACAGCCTATCCTCCTCCTTTTCCCACTTACAAGACTACTAGTCTGCTCACACTGTTCCTCTGCCACAAATGTGCTTCCATACCTTTCCCCCTCTTCTATGTGGGGTGAACTTTTAAAGTTAGCCAGGCGTGGTGGTGTGTACCCGTAGTCCTAGCCTCTTGGGAAGCTGAAATGGAAGGATTGTTTGAGCCAGGAGTTTGAGACCACAGTGAGCTGTGATTGTGATGCTGCACTCCAGCCTGTGGGACAGAGCAAGACCCTTCCTCTAAAAAAAAAAAAAAAAAAAGCCTGACAGTTTATATGCCACTTCCCTAAGAACAGAGCTTTCCCCATCCTAGTGGCAGCCGAGGGGAGGGAAGGAGCTTCAGCATCAGGCAGAATTCCACTTTAGTCTAAATGCCGTCACCAGCCCAGGGTGCCTTCACCTCTGAGCTTCCGCTTCCTCTGTCAAATCAGAGTGTACCTATCTGCACAGTGGTCACCTGGCAGTAGTGGGAACCCCATGTCTGACATGCAACAGGTGCTCAGCAAACACTGGGGCTCTCTTCACAGGATGTTTACTCTTTCCTTGGCTGTAGCTGTAAACTTCCCCAGCACTGTACGGGACTGCCCTTTGATCTCTAGATCACCTCCCCAGCTCCCTTGCAGAAAGGAAGATAGAGGCTGGCAGCTATGTCTGGATGTGGACGCAGGTCCTAAGGACTTGAAGGGGCAGAACCCACAGATCCCTTCCACAGGGCCAGGGGCTCGTGAGCACATGTGCCAGACAGTAAATCTAAGCATGGAGGAACTCACCTTTACCATTCCTCCTAGCCTACAGGAAGGCAGGGAGAAAGGAGGGCACTAGCACAGAGCAGGCCATTCATTGGAGCTGGTGACTGCCATTCAGGTAGGTCCTGAAAATCAGAGGTGGCCTCGGTGTGCTCTGTATGCAGGGGAGGTCCCAAGAGAAGTACGAATGTTGAAGTACATCAGAATTGGCCTTAAAGGGCATTTGACCCTCGTTCTGGATAATAAGACGGCATCTTGCCCAGGTAGAGAGGGCCTAGGAGCTTGAACTATGTCCTGCAAAGTGAGTGCTGTTTGCCTCTTCTGCTGTGTAACCTTGACAAGTTGCCTTTTTCTTTCTTTTCCTTTTGAGCTGGAATCTCTCTCTGTCGCCCAGGCTGGAGTCCTGGAGTGGCGCAATCTCGGCTCACTGCACCCTCAGCTTCCCCGGGTTCAAGTGATTTTACTGCCTCAGCCTCCTAAGTAGCTGGAATTACAGGTGCATGCCACCCACCCAGCTAATTTTTGTATTTTTAGTAGAGATGGGGTTTTATCATCTTGACCAGGGTGGTCTCCAACTCCTGACCTCAGGTGATCCACCCACCTCGGCATCCCAAAATGCTGGGATTACAGGTATGACACACTGCACCCAGATTGTGCCTTGGTTTTCTGATGTGCAAAATGGGATCACTTCTCAGGGGTGTGGGGATAAAATGAAATGACACGCAGGAAAGACTCTCAGAGTGGAGACTGGTCCTTTCCTTAGATGCGGAGCCAGGAGGGTGTCACAGACCTGAACCCGGGCTCTTCTGGAGCAAAAGGTTGAAACTACCTCCCCAGAAACCCACATTATAGTTGTTAAAAGCACAGAATCTGGACTCAGAAGGTGCTGGGTATCAATCGCAGCTTTACTACTTATCAGCTGTTGTCCTCATCTGTTTAAAATGGGACAATAGTCATGGTCTCATATGGTTATTATGGGCATTATATGCCCTACAAAATAAGTGATTATTTGTTTATTTATTTATTTTGTTTTTCTTATTATTATTTTTTTTTTCTAAGACAGGGTTTCACCATGTTGGCCAGGCTGGTCTGGAATTCCTGACCTCAGGTGATCCACCCGCTTCGGCCTCCCAAAGTGCTGAGATTACAGGCGTGAGCCACCACACCCGGCTATTTATTATTTTTATTTGACAGGACTCCAGACCTCATCTTCCCAAGTCTACCCACTCTGGTCTCCACGGAGACCCGTGGGCGGCTTTAGGGCTTCTGTCATTGAAGATGAAATAAATAGCTTCCCTAGTGGGTCTGACCTCCTGGGTCACCTGGCTAATTGCTGAATGAGAGCCTGGACTCCATATTCCTTATTTAGGATTTCAGCGCTCTTAAAGGCAGACTCTCAGGGCTTGGAAGGTAGAAGAATGCTACAGGACGGCTACATGCTACAAGAAGGCAATGTCTTTGCAAAGGTGTGTGGGCTGGGGAAGGCATGCTGTGTGATTGATCCTGCACCACTTGAGATGGTCCCGGCCCTCCAAACAGGGCCAAGGTGCTGCCAATCACTCAGTCCCTGCTCGGAGGTGGCCCAGACCAGGTGTCCCGAAAGCAGCCTGGGGACGGCGGCAGAGCTTAAACAGACGCGAGAAAGGGGTGGAGTCGAGGGAAGGGACGTGGTCTCAGGAACAAAGAGGAGGGCGGAGACGGGCTGTCTAGAAGGCTCTGAGATTCATACGACCCCAGGAAACTTACTTCGGCTCGGGCGCCCTCCCCGACTTGGAGCAGAGCCTATGGGCTCCTGCCGATGCCCACCCGAATCGCTAAACCACACGCTGCAGACGACCCCAAGACTAAGATCTCCGATCTCCTTGGCCCGCAAGGGGCGGGGTCTTCCTCCGGGGCGTGACCGTCAAATTGAATTTTCCCAATGGGGCACGAGAGTGGGAGGTGCCCAACCGAGGATTGGCTGGTGCGTCGGGACGGGGCGGGGCCAAGGGGCGCTGGCGCGGCTGGACGGGCAGCTCTCCGCAGAATCCAGGGGACGGTTGTTGAGCGGGCCTGGGACACCGGGTTGCGGCGCCTCCCGCCTGCGCGTGTCTAATCCATCTGCCGGGTCCCGAACAAGCTAAGCTGAGCCCGCGCCAGACGGGTGGGCTGGACTGAGAGGTGGGTGTGCGGACCTCGGGGGGGGATCCTGGTGCTGCCCCAACGTGTCCGGGGGTGGAACCCGGATGTCTGGACAGGAGTTCTGGAACGTCCAGACCTAGGAGCCCCTACTCGTCCACGAGAGCTCTAAGCCATGGGATAAAGTTCTGAGACTGTGGGGGGAAGACGCCCGCGGATTTATAAGAGGCTCCACGCCCCACTGGGGCGCTCGTCTTTGGTGGCACAAACCCTGGGGAAGCTGCCACAGAACCCTGAGGCCCCTCACAATATCCGGCGACCCCAAACTGTGACAGGGAGCCATGGGATTGCAGAAGGGCAGCGGCAGGGATCTTACAGTCCCGTGGGTGCCCTAGATTAGGCATTAGGGACACCTGCCTCTTAGAATAAAAGACGTGGGGGGAACCAGAATGTACGCAGAACCTAAGGCTGGTGACCACTGGACAGTCTTGAAGAGGTTTAACGCAGAGTGAGTAGGTAAGAGGCAAGGACCCTAACAGGCAGAGATTGGGAGGCTGACACCTCTGAGCCTACCCGGATGGGAGGAAGAGCAAGCAGTGACTTGAACAGGCAGGGTCCCACACACTCCAACTGTGTGCAGGGGAACCCCCACCCCCGACCCATGCAAGGGATGGGGCGACTTCCCAAGTGACTGTTCTGAAGAGAGGGAAGGGATAACTGAAAGATGAATCAACAGGAGGTGGGGGGTAGTCCTGGGGCCATCTCAGTCACTATACATTAGTAAGCATCCACAGTGTGCCAGACTAGGGGCCCTCAAATTCCAGACAGACATTACTTAGGGCTACAGTAGGAAGGAGAGATCTGCGCTGGGAGGCTGGGCCAGGATTTAGGGGTCCATTTTGAGGAGCAGCAGCAGGGTTTTGCCCCATCACTGGGGCAAGATGGGGCTCTTGCCCCTGTCACTGAGAGTGTTCTGGGCCCTTGAGGGCACTTTGGAATGGCACTTCAGAAGCCGGAGATGACCAAGATTTTGATTACACCCTTCTCTGCCCTCTAAGTCTTTGGGTTCCTCCTTGCTTGGTGGCAAATCCTTGGCCCTCTCCAATCCTCTCAGTTTGCCTGAAACCCAGAGGTTGGGCAGTCAGCTTCTGAAGGCCCTTCCAGGTGGGGAACTGAATTATCTGTGAATTGGCAGGAGGTGCTGGGTACCTGGACACCTGGCTTCAGGAGGTTGGGACAGCAGAGCTGGCTCCAAGAATTGGAAGACAGTGTACCTTCCTATACCTGGGGGAATGACAGTGATGGTGGCAGCAAAAACTTGGATATGGGTTCAGCCCACAGCCAGAGGCTGAGCTTGTAGAGCGGGTGGGGGCTGAGTAGGCACTGGGCATGGGCGGGTGGGGCAGGAAACTGTGGACACTGGAGCACCCCCTGGTGGTGAGCACAGCTTGGGTGGGCCTCGCGGGGCCCCAGCTTCTCAATCCAGGTCCCCACCCTCCCTGTTTGAGGTTTTGACAGGATGAGAGTCTATCCCAGGCCACACAGCAGACTGGTGGCCAAGCTGGCAGGGCTGGAACCAAAGACCTTGGTGCTACCCTGGGTTTGGTGAGTTTTCCGGCAAACCACCCTAAGGCAGAGGGCAACTTCCAGCCAGGAGCCACGTTACAGGATGGGACAGCAATGGATGCTCATAGGTTAGAGAGGGAAACTAAGGCACAGAGCCTAAGTGCCTGTGGTTTCTAGAAGCCCCAACAGGCCTGATTCATGTCTGTCCCCTGCAGAATTCTCTGAGCTGGTGACAGGTGCCACAGGCACTGGGAATCTCACCAGAAAGGAACCAACGGAGCTACGGGCCAGCAAGATGTCGGACGACACCTTAGCTGGGCTGGATGAGGGAGCCCTTCGGAAGCTGGTAAGTGGCCCCATCACCCACTGTGGGGACAGGAAAGCCAAGCCAGAGGCAGGGTCAATCCCAGGTGCCTCTCAGCTGGCAGAAAGAAGTGATGGGGAAAAGGTCAGGAGGAGGAAGACACAGGAACAGGGGTAGGCCAGTTCCATGTGGCTGATGCAGAGGCCCCTGTGGCATGTGCCTCTCCATGCCAGGTGCTGAAGCCTAGTCCCTCCCAGCCCTCCACAGCCACCACCTGTTTAAACAGTAACTGCTGAGGACTCGCCCATGTGCAGCCACAGGTGTGGGGAGGCTGGATCTGCCTCTCCAGAGCAACAGCCAGGGCAGTGTCCACCCCTGGAAACTGGCCCAGTGATAATAGTAGCAGCAATGATTAATAATGCCAAGGCCTGGCAGGGGGCAGGCTGGGCACTGTGTATCCTATGTCACAGAATAATCACAGCAGCTCTGAAAGCCTGGGCACTGCGACTCAGTTGAAATCACCTGCTCAAGGACACCCATCTAAGAAGGAACTGTGCCAAAATCCCAACCCCATAGTGGGCCGTGGGGGACTAGAGTCCTGGGAAAGTCAAGGCCATAAGAGAGAGACAGGCTTTTTGGGCCCTTACGGGTTCTGTGGCTTCTCATCTCATTTTCCCACTGTGGGTCTCAGTTCTGGGGTTGTGTAACATGGAGGAAGGAAGGGCGAGGTGTGCACACAAACTCTAGGTCCTAGGGTTGGCATGGGGACAGAATGAGGCATGGACCCAGATCTCCCGTGGAGGAAAGATGAGGACATTCCATCCTCTTTCTCGTTGCTCTTCCTGAGAGTCCGGTCTACCCCCAGGCACAGAGAGGCTGTCGAGCAACGCAGTGGGGCAGGGCTCCTCCCCGCCCCCCTCCAGACCAGGCAGCCTGGCCTGGGGGGTGGGTGGGCAGAAGAGCTCCATCTCCCCAGTCCCTGACCCTTGTCCAGGGAGTTAAAGATTTACCTTACCTAGAGAACAAGTAACCCACCCCACCCCTATGCCTTCCCCTAAAGGCAGAGGCTGGAACCAGCCAGTGTAACCCAGCCACTGGGCAGTGCCCAGCTGCTGCCATGACCTCCCTAAGACACTGTGCCTGTATGTTCTCGGACCAGTGCATTAGACTGGGTGTCTGCCTCTCCACTGCCATCGTAAGATGTGTGCAGCCTGGAGGGGACGGGATTGGGTTTCCAAAGGTGCCCACCAGTCAGCTCGACCTCCCCTCAAGACGTCCGAGTCCCAGTGGGAGTCGTAGAGGCAGCGCAGTCCAAAAAGGGGGAATTCCAGCCCGGGTTCCCGAGCATCCTTATCTCAAGGTGTCCACAGTCAGGCTCGGGGCTCTTCCGCCGCCCCCTCCCTCTCTCATGAGAGGCTCGGGCGGCGCTGTAGAAGAGTTTGGGAGAAGCTGGAGCAGTGGTTGAAGTCAGCCCACCCACGCCCCCATCTCTGGGAAAGGACCTATGGGGAACCTGCCTCGGTCTAGGGCTCCGTGCCGCTCGGTGTCTTTCCCACCCCGGGAGCGGCTCCTCCAGCCCCCAGCGCCCGCCATTACTGCGCCCCACGCGCCGGCCCGGCCCCCGCCGGCCTCGTGGCAGGACCAGGGGCGTCCCGAGCCGGGCTCCTCCCTCCGGGGCCGGGCCTTATAAGGAAAAGCTGGGCCCGCTCCGCCTGCCCTGTGCCCCAGCGTCGGGCCGATCTGGGGACGCGGGCAGCAGCTTCCGGCCCCGGCTCCCGCACATTCCTGAGGACTGGACTGGAGGTTGCGCGGAATGGGGGCGCCTGGGGACTGGCATGCCGCGTGCCCTTCCACCACCCACCCGCCGGGACGCCCTCTGCCTCGGTCCCGGGTTCGAGTTCGGGCGCCGCCACTCACTTAGCTGGGTGTCCCAGGGACCCCGGTTTCCTCCCTGCAGATCGGGACACTGAAGCAGGCGGTAGCGGGGGACTTCCGATCTGGCTCCCCCTTCGGCGCCCAGCGCGAGGCCGGGTGGGCGAGGCGGGGGCGGCGCCCCGCGCGGGAGGGCGGTCGCGCAGCCTGCGGGCCTTCAGCGCCGCCTGGCGAGGCCTCGCTCCACTGCCGGCGGTCACCTAAAGGGCTGCGGGGGAGCTGGGACTGAGAACGTCCGGAGAGTGCGCTCCGTTATGCTGTTGGGGAGACAGGCCCAGCGAGACCTCAGGGCCTGCCGGACGTCCCCAGCAGCGAGGGCAGAGAGTACCCGGAGAGCCAGCCCTCCAGGGGGAGGCAGCACCCTCTTTCCTCCCGGGAGAATTTCACTGGGCACTTTCGGAAACCGCCCCATCCCTTTCCCCTTCCCCCTCAGTAGACAATGGCGCTTTGTACTGCCTTCCCTCCTTCCCGCAGTCCCCTCCTTACACGGTGGTGGGGCCTGACAGGGTGGAACCCGGGACACACAGAGGGGACACTGTGGTCCGACCTTTGCCTCCAGGCCCAAAGGGAAGGGTTGTGCCAGAGGGTGACCAGTAGAACGAGATTGTCAGTCCCCAGCCTTGCCCACCCACTTCGGGGGAATCCAAGGGAGGCCCCCATTTTCCAGATGGGGACACTGAAGCTCCTGGGGTTGTGTCGTAGAGGTGGCGAAGTTGTTACATAGGGATTTTGCCAGGGGCAAGGACCCCATCTCAGGGCCCAGAGCACTGGAAATGGAGACCTAGGAGACAAAGGCTGGCACTTGCCCCTCTGGGCTCCTTACTCTCTTACAGGAGGGGCTGGGCCCACTGTCCCCGCCGGCCCCCAGTCTCCAAATGTACCACAGGAGGCTCTAAGCCTGAGATGTGGCCAGGACGGGGGGCGGGGGTTGGGGAGTGAGCCTCCTTCTCCTTGCTTCTGCTATGAGGCCCCCTTAGGCCTCAGAGCATCTCTAGTCCAGGCTAGAGGGGTCTCCAACCCAGTGCCAGGGTTCCTGAGGTCCCCACCATGACAGACACCCCAGTAGCAGAGCTATCTTCAGTGTAGGGCAGGCCCTGGAGTCAGAGAAACCTGGGTTCAAATCCTGGCTCGGGTCATTTGACCATAAACAAATCACATCCTGGACCTCAGTCTCCTCATCTGTCAAACGGGAATAACACAGTATCTAGGGTTTTTGTGAGTTTACGGCGAGTAGGGGGCTCAGTATAGGGTTCGACCTAGAGGCTCTCCTTAAATGTTACTGATGCCTTGGGGTATCCTGCCCTTCCCATTTGCACTCTCCGTCTCTCTCCCTCCTCCTGACTGGCTGGAACCAAGTATGGGAGTGATGCTTATTGCAACTGCAGCCGCGTACAGGAGAGCCCAAGTCACTGTTCCCACCCTCACCCAGTGGCAAATAAGAAAACCAAGACAGAGAGTTCCAGGGATGTGTCCCTGATCACGCAGCCAGGACTGTACTGGGGCTGGAACCAACTGGGGGCTCTGGCCTGAATGGCAGGGGGTCGCCTCAGGCATGTGCAGCCTGGGGGGCTTTGCCTCCAAGACTCTCCCTACTCTCTTCAGACCAGGACAAGCTGGCTCACGGCTGAGCTGCCCACACTCCCTGCTGAAAACTGTCTCCACCCCAGCCCCACCCTTGCCACCTGGCCTTCCCACTAAGCAGAAGGGAGTGATAGGTGGGGGCTAAAAAGGGAGGTGATAGAGGGCTCTTTGGCCCTACTCCGAATGATCTGGGGAGTGCAAACAGAGGAAATCCCCTGCCTTTACTGGCTCTCATCTGGTTATCAGACCCACACTGGAGGCTTATCTCTGCCATTATCTTCCTGGGGGATCTGGAGCCAGTCCTCTCTCCCTTAAGCCACGGAGGGTCTGTAGGGGGTGGCTCTACTTGGTGGAGGTGTGGGGGAGGCAACAGGATTGGCTGACTCACTCCAGAGAAGGTGTTCTTTCCTAAACCCGGTTAGACCAGTCACCCCCAATTTCCTGGGAACTGAGGGGCTGAGAACTTGGGAGGAACCCCTGTCACCCAGGGATGCCCTCTCTAAGGCCCTGAGGTGGCCCCTAGTGCCAGCTGCCTTATATGTCTGGGGGAGAGGTCCTCCCACTCTGCACCCCGGCTCCTTCAATGGTGGCTAGGGCCAGGCCAGTGCAGTGCGGAGCATAGCCCTCAGCCAGGCAGGACCCCTGAGCACCTGCCCTCAGTTTCCCCATCTGTGGATGAGGCAGTCTACCCCCAGCTGGGCTGTGGTGCTTGGTGACTAGACCATGGAAGCCTCTCTTGCTCAGAGGGTGGACTTCGGCAGCCCAGTCACTTTTCCCTCTGGGGACCTTGTTAGTGGCCCACAGGGTGGCCTCCCTCCTCCTCCTGCAAAAGCTCCCTGGCTCTTGGGGTCTGGGCTCTGATGGGTAGGAATCGAATTGCAGGAAGGAGTGCTTGGCTTGGCACCTGGCACAGGTGGGTGGTTTCTGGCTGTCCACTCACAGTCATGTGCTCTGTGAACCACAATGCCCAGTGGGCTCCCCAGGAGCCCTGAAACAGGGAGCTGGGTCTATCCCTGAGACCCTGCGTGGGCAGGCAGCCACGTGAAGGGCTTGGGGCAGAGGGAGTGGACACAGGCCACACATTGTGCCCCAGGCAGAGCTGTGGGCAGCTGGTGCCAGCCCTCGGCCCCTGGCAGCCAAAATGACCTGCCCCTCGCCCCCGCTGCAGCTGGAGGTCACAGCGGACCTGGCAGAGCGGCGGCGCATCCGCTCAGCCATCCGGGAACTGCAGCGGCAGGAGCTGGAGCGCGAGGAGGAGGCTCTGGCATCCAAGCGCTTCCGTGCCGAGCGGCAGGACAACAAGGAGAACTGGCTGCAGTGAGTAGCGGGGGATGGAACATGCGGGTGAGAGGGTGAGTGCGTGCCAGGGCTCAGCTCGTGCGTGCTGGCAGGCGTGAGCACAAGTGTATCTGTGGACTGCATGTGCAGATGGCAGTATGTGCACACGGGCTTCTGGAAAAACAGGGATGTTTGTGGGCATGGAGCATGTACTGATCATGGCATTGTGGCTGTGCTGGTGTAGTCAGCACATCCGAGCATGTGGTATTAGTGCCCACATCCATGGGCATATGTGTGTCAGTGTGCAGTCAGAGGGTGTGCACAGCCACATGCCGTTCTGCCAAGGTTCTGGGTACTCTGTTCTGGCTCCTACCCTTAGCCCACATCCTCCACGACCTGGCCATGGCAGTGGTGGGTACAGTCATGATGTCTCTGCAGCTCTCAGCAGCGGGAAGCTGAGCAGCGGGCTGCCCTGGCACAGCTGGCAGGGCAGCTGGAGTCCATGAACGATGTGGAGGAGTTGACTGCACTGGTGAGGCCCAGGCTGGGGCAGGGAACGGGGGCAGGGCAGGTGAAGACCTGGCCTCCACAGCCCAACTCCCACGGCCTGCCTCTCACCCACAGTTGCGAAGCGCTGGTGAGTATGAGGAGCGCAAGCTGATTCGAGCTGCCATCCGCCGCGTCCGGGCTCAGGAGATTGAGGGTATGTGGCATGTCCTGGCCCCACCCCTGTCCTGCTGTCTACCGTCCACAGCACCTCCCCGACACTCACCTGACACTTGCTCCTTCCCTTCCAGCGGCCACCTTGGCTGGGAGGTTGTACAGCAGGCATCCCAACGGTGGCTCCAGAGAGGACAGCAAGCGGCAAGCGGCACACAGGCTGGAACAGTGTGAGGTAAGGTGGGTGGGAGGGTGGCCCAGCGTCCTGTGCCCATAGATGCCAGTAGCACAGAGTGCCTGTGTGTCTTTGCTAGGCTGGTATTTGACTATAAGGGGCCCACCCCTCCCATCCAGTCTCTATTCAGCAGCCAGAGGGATCTCCCAGAAATGCAAATCCGGCCCTGACACCTCCCCTGCTTCAACCCATCGCAGGGCTGCCCTTCACCCTCCACACAGCCCACAGCCTTACCTTGGGCTATGGGGCCTGCATGTCAGACCCCAGGTGGCTCTTGGGGCACTGTTCACAGTTCCCTTTATTCTCCAGAGAGTGTGAGAGTGTGGTTGAAGTCAGGCTATGCAGTTTCCCTAAGTGGCCAGCAGAGGCCGCTGGGTCCGCGGTCCTGGCAGGACACCATCCCCACTCCAGATGAACCAGGCTGAGGCAAGGGGTCAGGAAGCTCGGCTCCAGGGATCTATTAAGGCTCCCGTCCCCAGCAGGTCTCCTGCCATCCCCACCCACTGACATCAGGCCCTGCTCCTTTCTGAACACCTTAGGCTAGGCAGTGCCAAGAGATTGGCAAGTGGGGATCAGAGACTGCCCTAGCATGCCAGTGCCAGTGCCTGTGCAGGTGTGCCTACAGGAAGCCATATCCCCGCCACTCTGCTTTGCATGCCCTGCCCTCGGCACCTGCCAGCCTGACCCTCGGTGGTGGGAGTGGCACTTGAGGCCTAGGGAGCCTTGGTTGTACCCTATGGGTCCCTTGCAGGTGCCAGAGCGAGAGGAACAAGAGCAGCAGGCAGAGGTCTCAAAGCCAACCCCCACCCCTGAAGGCACCAGCCAGGATGTGACCACAGTGACACTCCTGCTGCGGGCCCCTCCTGGGAGCACCTCCTGCTCACCTGCCTCACCCTACAGTTCACCCACCCCTGCCTCTCCCGAGCCTCCACTGGAGCCTGCCGAGGCCCAGTGCCCTACTGCTGAGGTTCCAGGCAGCCCAGAGCCACCCACCAGCCCACCCAAGACCACCGGCCCTGAGCCTCAGGAGTCTCCAACGCCCCCCAGCACTGAGGGCCAGGTGACCAACAAGGTGAGTCTGGACGAGGGGCAGGGATGCCGGGCAGGCGAGCGCGTCTGGGAGGCAGGCCTTGCTCATGCCGTGTTTTCCCTTGCAGCTCCTGTCTGGCCGCAAAGAGACCCCTGCTGCCCAGAGTCCCCCCAGAGGCCCCTCTGACACCAAGAGAGCAGGTGAGGGTGCCAGCAGGGGTAGTCACAGGCATCTGCTTCCCCTCTCCCAGCCTCCCTTTCCCTGCCTAGAGAATGGGCTCTTGTGCCTGGCAGCTCCAGCTTCCTCAGGTCTAGGCAGTCCCTAACACTGCACCCCACCCCTGAAGTGTCCCCGCCCTCAGCTAGGCCCACCTCCCCCTCCACCCCCATGGCTAGAGGCCTCCCCCGCAGCCTTGAAAAGCAACCAGCCTCAGGCACATTCTTCTCCCCAATAAGGGAGTCTGCCCATCTCCCAGCTAGAGCTGTGGGCAGCACTGGCCAGGAGGCTGTCCCCGCTCCCCATCTGCAGGAAGGATCTTGGCACCCTTCCTCCAGCCTAAGCCTTGCCCGGCCCCCAGGAACGTCCAGATCATCCTAGGGTCGGTGTGGGAGGGGAAGGAGGTGCCTGTAGGAAAGATGAATCCAAGGGGTGATGCCGGAGTGTGAGATCCAGGAGGGGATGGGGAGGCAGGATGGGGGTTGGGTATAGGAAAGGGTGGGAGGCTAGGGAGGTATACAGAAGAGGATTGAGAGGTGAACCCCTCCTATTCCCTGTCTTTTCTCTTTCCTCACATGGCCACCACCCCCTCCCCAACCTGCCAGACCTGGCTAGACCCCAACCCTGCCAACGCTCCCTATCGGTGCTCAGCCCCCGTCAGCCAGCCCAGAACCGAGGTACCACCTATTCTCACCCCCTACTAGGTTCTGGACAGACCCAAACCCACCTAGCCGCTGACAGCCCTCCTGTCCCTTCTAGAGTCCACCCCCCTTGCCAGCGGACCTTCCTCGTTCCAGCGGGCTGGCTCTGTGCGGGACCGTGTCCACAAGTTCACATCTGATTCTCCTATGGCTGCTAGGCTCCAGGATGGCACGCCCCAGGCTGCCCTAGGTCCCCTGACCCCCGCAAGGCTCCTGGGCCCCTCCCTCACCAGCACCACCCCTGCCTCCTCCTCTAGTGGCTCCTCCTCTCGGGGCCCCAGTGACACCTCCTCCCGGTTCAGTAAGGAGCAACTCAGAGTAGCCCAGCCCCTGGCCCAGCTTCGAAGCTGCCCCCAGGAGGAGGGCCCCAGGGGGCGGGGCTTGGCTGCCAGGCCCCTTGAAAACGGAGCAGGGGGGCCTGTGGCACGTTCAGAGGAGCCTGGTGCCCCGCTGCCCGTGGCTGTCGGCACTGCCGAGCCAGGGGGCAGTATGAAGACCACATTCACCATCGAGATCAAGGACGGCCGTGGCCAGGCCTCCACAGGCCGGGTGCTGCTGCCCACAGGCAACCAGAGGGCAGGTAGGCTCCCCACTGCCTCCCCACTGAGGATGAGTGCCTTGCAACCGCACCTCTGCATACAGGACAGGTGCTGCGGCCAGGGCTCAGGGTGTCTTCAAAGGGTGTGCTGGGAGCGAGGGCACTATCAGCCTTGGCTGGCACTACCCTCACTCCACCTGATCCTCCTGACCGCCACCTTTCTCCCCACTCAGAACTGACACTGGGGCTGCGGGCGCCCCCGACCCTCCTCAGCACCAGTAGTGGGGGCAAGAGCACCATCACCCGTGTCAACAGTCCTGGAACCCTGACTCGGCTGGGCAGTGTCACTCATGTCACCAGCTTCAGCCATGCCTCCCCCGGTAGCCGAGGAGGTTGCAGCATCAAGGTGAGCCCCTCCTCACCCCACCAGCCTCACAATCCGTCAGCCTCACATAGATTGCTTCAGAGTGTAGGGCTAGCAGGGTTCCTCTGTTCCTCCCCTACTGCACACACAGAGAAACTGAGGCCCAGAGAGGGAAGGTGGCTGCTGACAGACCACAGCTAATCAGCGGCAGAGCTAAGGCCAGACCCTAGCATATCAGCCCCTAAGTTTGTCAGAAGCTTACTCTGTACTGGCATTAAGCCTCCTGCATGCCGATCTCTCATCCTTAGTCCAAGACTGGTTGGTTCATTCCAGGTGAACAGATGGGGAAACTGAGGCTCAGAGAGAGTAGTAGGGGCTTGCTCCCCTCTTCCTGTGGCAGACCCAGTGCCCCTGTGCCCACCCACACTGGACATTAGCCCCGAGGTATAGAGCAACTCATCTGCTCATCCAAGATCAGCCTGGCCCATTAGGAGATTGGAGATTAGCGATTAGCATCTGCGTCAACCTCCCTGTGGGGGTTGGGCAGAGGCACTGATGGGGGACAGACAAGCAGGGGGGGGTGCCAATCGGGTGAGGCAGCAGCCTAGTAGGTGCCTTGGGAACTGAATACGCAGCACCCTTCCATTATTCATTCCCAAGCCCAGGATCCACTAGCCAGGAGCTCAGCTGGGGAAGGGATTCCCAAGCGGGCCACCTGACTGCCCAGGTAATGCCCTCTGTGCTGAACCAGGGACTGAACAGGACTTTGGCTGAGGTGAGATGGCTAGAGCCAGCTTTGGGCCTTCTCAGGAGAGCCAGGGAGAGAGTGAGGGAAAAAAAGCACCCTTCCTCCAAAAAAGCAGGATCTAGCTACCCTCTGACAAGGGATTGTGTGAGGTGGGGTGGAGGGACCAGCTGAGGCCCTTGAGGTGGATGGGAGGTGCCACAGTGAGACCTGGGTCTGACACCACCAGCTTGCCTCAGTTTACCCATCTGGAACGAAGGGGGAACAGATGATGTGCCCATAATGTGCTTGCTCAAAGTCTGTGGCTGGGTGTGAGCACCATGGGCAGGCCAGAGGGCATTTATCTCAGGCCAAGACCCTTTTTGCAGCAGATCACTCAAAGTCCTGCTTCCCTGTGCCTCCACTCCCCCCATCTGTTCCAGCTGTCGAAAACAGCATGGCATGAAGGTGAAGGAGTGGAGTCCAGCAGACTGGATTCTCACAGCTAATGTACATGGTGGCTCAGATAGGTCCATTTCCCGTTCCCTGCCTCAGTTTCCTCACCTATGGGCATGGGACCCTGATCTCAGTGATCTTTACACCCATGCAGTCTTACTGTCCTGCAGGCGTATGGTTTCTGCAGGGCTAGAGCCAGGCCTGGCGATCTGCCTGCTTGGGCAGGCCCCCCTCCCCCACTGCCCCTTCCACGGAGGATCCCAGAATAGGTTTCTATTTGGGCTGCAGCTCCAGCTGGCTGGTGGCGGGCTAGGAGGCAGGGGCGGGGCAGACCCACTGCCCTTGCCTTTGCCCTCGGACCAGCTGCAAAGAGTCAGACACTGTCAGCCAGAGGCAGCAGCCCCTGCCACTGCCCCACCATTATCCCCCATAGAGTCCCCACCAGCACCATGCCAGGGGTACCAGGGCCTGGGCCTGAGCTGGCTGCAGCCCTGGAGGAGCAGTTGGGCCGGGCATTGGAGGAGCTGCGGGCGGTGGCTGAGGCAGGCCGGGCAGCAGTGACCCAGGCAGCAGAGGTAGCTGTGGCCACAGTGGAGCCGCTGGCCCGGGCAGCTGAAGAGCTGCGGGCAGAGAGAGCAGCACTGAGCCGGCGGCTGGATGCACTGAGCAGGCAGGTGGAGGTGCTGAGCCTACGACTGGGGGTCCCACTTGTGTCTGGCCTCGAGCCTGAGCTGGAGCCCAGCGAGCTGCTTTTGGCTGCTGCCGACCCCGAGGCCCTCTTCCAGGCGGCCGAGGATGCTGGAACCCCTGTGGCCCACCCACCTGCCTTCAGCACCCGCCGCCGCTCCTCCACCAGCACTGCCCGCAGCACTAGTCTCGTAAGTCCCTCTGGGTTAGTGGGAGGGGGTGGTTTTGAGTCAGGCTCTGCCTCCGCTGTGACTTTAGGTATGTCATCACCTTCTCTGAGCCTCAGTTTACCTATGCAGACTGGGGACTGGGGCACTAGTGCTCCAAGACTGGGGCAAGAGGGTGCCAGGCTCCAGCCCTGAGGCATGCATGGCAGCTGCCCTGGCAGCCCCTGGCATGGCCCAGGCCCCAGCCCCCAGCTCCACCGCCCTGCACCCTGGCCAGACCAAGCCTCCCTGAAACAGCTGCCACCTCGGCTCTCCTTACCCTTATAGCAGACAGAGAGGCCCTGCCAGGAGAGGAAGGGCCATAATAGTTGGCCTGAGACCTTGTCTTCAAGGGGCTGGGAGGGCTGCAGGGCTGGAGACTCCTTAGAGTCTCCATTTGCGGACACCAGCTCAGTGGCTGCCCTACCCAGCTTCTCCTTCTCTAGACCCAGCAGTTTCCAACAGGGGCGAGGAAGGGGGAGGTGGTACAGAGGAGAGTTTCAGAGAGGTCTTGGCTCAGGGCAGCCCCAGTCAAACACCTGGTCAGAAGCCTACGGGCCGTGGGCCAGCCCCCTTGGCAAGGTGGCAGGTGGATGGGGGACAACATGTGCTGCCTGGGCACTGGCCCAGGAGGACCCAGGCCTCAGGAACTGGCAGCACAGAGCACAGCCTGCCTGAGAGGGGGCTGGGAACAAAGCAGCAAAAAAGAACTGAGGTTCAGGAGTTAGACTACCTTCAGCTCAGGTCCCAGGCCGCTTCGCACTTAGAGAGACTGTGGGCAAGTCAGTCAGCTGCCCTGAGCTCAGTTTTCCCTTCTGTTTTTTTTTTGGGGGGGGGGTCTTGTTTTGTTTTGTTTTGTTTAAGACAGGGTCTTACTCTGTTGCCCAGGCTGGAGTGTAGCTGCTGATCATAGCTCTCTGCAGCCTCTAACTCCTGGGATTAAGTCCCATCCTCCTACCTCAGCCTTCTGAGTAGCTGGGATTGCAGGTACACACCACCGTGCGTAGCTAATTTTTTTTTTTTTTTTTTTTTGAGACAGAATTTCACTCTTGTTACCCAGGCTGGAGTGCAATGGCGTGATCTCGGCTCACTGCAACCTCCGCCTCCTGGGTTCAAGTGATTCTCCTGCCTCAGCCTCCCGAGTAGCTGGGACTACAGGCATGTACCACCATGCCCAGCTAATTTTTGTATTTTTAGTAGAGACAGGGTTTCATCATGTTGACCAGGATGGTCTCGATCTCTTGACCTCGTGATCCACCCCTCTCGGCCTCCCAAAGTGCTGGGATTATAGGCGTGAGCCACCGCGCCTGTCCACGTAGCTAATTTTTTATTTTTGTGTTTGTAGAGAGGGGATCTTGCTGTGTTACCCAGGTTGGTCTCAAACTGCTGGCAACAAGTGATCCTCCCACCTTGGCCTCTCAAAGTGTTGAGATTACAGGCATGAGCCACTGTGCTCAGCCTTTGCTTCTGTTAAATAGGGACAGTAAAATCCCTAGTGTTTATACAACACTTACTATGGACTGGAAATCATCATTATTATTATTATTATTATTATTTTTTTTTTTTTTTTTTGAGACGGAGTTTCGCTCTTGCTACCCAGGCTGGAGTGCAATGGCGTAATCTCGGCTCACCGCAACCTCCGCCTCCTGGGTTCAGGCAATTCTCCTGCCTCAGCCTCCCGAGTAGCTTGGATTACAGGCATGTGCCACCATGCCCAGCTACTTTTTTGTATTTTTAGTAGAGACGGGGTTTCACCATGTTGACCAGGATGGTCTCGATCTCTTGACCTGGTGATCCACCAGCCTCGGCCTCCCAAAGTGCTGGGATTACAGGCTTGAGCCACCGCGCCCGGCCAAATCATCATTATTATTACCATCAATTGTATTAATGCAATGCTCGGTACACGGCGCCCTACAACAAGGCTGTCCATGCCTCTTTCCTGACACTAACATGGCCATCCCTGGGCGGGCAGGCTGGCAGGCTAGTGGTTATTTCCAAGGCTGTGCCAGCATGGTGGGTTTCACCCATGCCCCTGCTTAAAGTCCATGCCCTCTCCCCACCCTGCAGATGGAACCAGAGCCAGCAGAGCCTCCCTCTGTAGCAGTGGAAGCGGCCAATGGGGCCGAGCAGACCCAAGTGGACAAAGCACCAGAAGGGCGGAGCCCCCTGAGTGCTGAGGAGCTGATGACTATTGAGGATGAAGGAGTCTTGGACAAGATGGTACAGCTAGATCTGATGGGCTGGGGGTTGGCGGAAGCCAGGGACCAGCAGGCATCAGGTAGGCAATGACGGGCTCTCTATGCAGCTGGATCAGAGCACGGACTTTGAAGAGCGGAAGCTCATCCGGGCTGCACTTCGTGAGCTCCGACAAAGGAAGAGAGGTAGAGAACCAGTTGCCCTACCCTAGATCCAGCTGCCCCACTCCCCAGCTGCTCCCCTCATACTCTGGGGTCCATTTGTGGACACTCCAGCTCAATGGCTGCCCTACCCAGCTTCTCCTTCTCTAGACCCAGCAGTTCCCTTGCCTACTCCCTGCTGGATCCAGCTGCTCCCTTCCCTAGCTGCTTCTCTCCTGCTGGCAACCCCAGTTATTCTCCCCAACCAGCTTCTCTTCTCCTTCCTAGACCCAGTTACTCCCTCCCTCAGCTACTTTCTCCTTGGATCCAGTTGCCTCTCCAAGTACTGTCAATGACTCCTTCCTTGAATCCAGATACTCCTCCCAGCTGCTCCTCTCCCTGAAGTCCACTGATGGCCATCTTAGCCTCTGCCCCATGCAGCTTCCCCTTTCCTGGACACAGCAACTTCCTCCGTCATGTAGTTCTTCCCTGAACACATCTATTCATTCCCTTAGATCAGGCGTCCCCAGACTTTTTACACAGGGGGCCAGTTCACTGTCCCTCAGACCATTGGAGGGCCGCCACATACTGTGCTCCTCTCACTGACCACCAATTAAAGAGGTGCCCCTTCCTGAAGTGTGGCGGGGGGGGCGGATAAATGGCCTCACGCGGGCCGTAGTTTGGGGACGCCTGCCTTAGATTCTGGGTTCAATTGCTTCCCTCTCAAGTACTCTCAATTAGTTGTTTCTGCCAGGGTCCACTGATGGCCACCCCAGCCTCTATCTCTACCCACCTACTGCTATTTTAAGCCCAGTTAACTCCCTTCATCAGCTTCTCTCCCAACTTCTCTTCCCCGGGATCACATTGCTTCTCAGATCCCATCAGTTGCTCCCTTCCTGGATCTAGATATTTCTGTGTCCAGCTGCTCTTCTCCTGCAACCAAAGACCCACTGATGGCCCACTCAGCTACTTCCTCACCCAGCTTCTCCTTCCTTGGACTCAGCTGCTGCCTCACTAGATCTAGATACCCCCTCCTGACTCAGCTACTCATGCCCATAGAAACTTCCTTCTTAGATCTTTACCGCTTTGAGTTTAGCTATTCCCTATTCTCTAGTTTCTACCTGAGTCCATCAGCCCCTTCCCACACTCCATTCCCTGGCCCCTCACCCCAGCTGCTCCTAGAGAGGCCCCTGTTACTGTGTCATTAATGTTTCTAACAAGCCACCCCCCACCCCATCTTGTGTGCCCCAATGCATCTGTGCATCTGTGCTGTGTGGGCGTTGCTGGCCCTTTGCGCATGCGTGGGGCATCCCCTGCCCAGACCAGCGGGACAAGGAGCGGGAACGGCGGCTGCAGGAGGCACGGGCCCGGCCAGTGGAGGGCCGCGGCAACACAGCCACTGAGACCACCATGAGGCACAGCCAGCGGGCGGCTGATGGCTCTGCTGTCAGCACTGTTACCAAGACTGAGCGGCTCGTCCACTCCAGTAAGGGGCCGAGTGGGGCCCAGGGCTCAGGGTGGGAACACATCCTCCCCAGCCCCCTGTGCCTTTCACATCCTTCTCATCCCCTGCCCCTGCAGATGATGGCACACGGACGGCCCGCACCACCACAGTGGAGTCAAGTTTCATGAGGCGCTCGGAGAGTAAGGCCACCTGGCGTCGTCCTGTGCCTGCCTGCCTGCCTGCCCACCTCCTCCAGCTCTTCCTTGAGCTCTCTCTTCGTGTCTTCAACTGTGCCGTCATTTTCTCTTCTCTGCCTGCAGCTGTCAGCGTCCCTCCACACAGCCTCCCACCCCATCTCCTGATGTGCAGCCCAGGCCCTCACCTGGTGCCCCTTCCCCTTTTTTGCAGATGGCAGTGGCAGCACCATGGTGCAAACCAAGACCTTCTCCTCTTCCTCCTCATCCAAGAAGATGGGCAGGTGAGCACCAGCACCCACTACCCAACCACAGAGGAGTCAGTGCCACAGGGGACATAACTGCAAAACCCATTTTACAGAGGGGTAGGCTGGGTGCAGTGGCTCTCAGCTACAGGTGGGACCTGTAGTCCCACCACTTTGGGAGGCCAAGAATTGACCCTGGGAGGCAGAGGTTTCAGTGAGCTGAGATCACTCCACTGTATTCAGCCTGGGAAACAGCACAAGACTTAGTCTCAAAAATAAATAAATAAATAAAACAGAGGGGTAGCCTGGGATGCTGGAAGGTAATAGGTCTACAGCCAGGGAGGAGCCCAAGTGAGAGTTAAGGATCCTGCTCACTTTGGCATCTCACTTAATTCTCAACCACACCATAGGAGAGGTGGATGCTCAGGGAGGCCAGTGAGTTGCTTGGGGCTCATATCTGAGTGGCCACAATAGCATTGAACCGTTAGAGAGGGCTACTTACCACACGGAGCTGCCTGGTGGCACTGTGTCTGCAAACCATGTCCCAGGTCACAGAGCACCTTTATACCTTAGTTCCATGAGGCAGGAGGGCACCCCCATGTAACAGAGGCTACTGGGGCTGGCAGAAAGCAGGAACAGGATCAGAATCCAGGATGGGAACCCAAGGGGTCCAGGCACTCTGAGTCAGAGAGACTGCTCAAGTTCGAGCCCCGCCCATCACGTCCTCTGAAGTCTTAGGCAAGTTACTGCCAGGGGCCTCGATTTCCTCACCTTTAGTGGAATTGGTCAGGCCCCTCCCTCCTTGTGAAGTTTAAAATGGCACACAGGAAAGGATCAACAGAGATTTATTATTATTATTATTACTATTATTATATTAGTCATTTTTATTAGCGGATAGTGCTCAGAAGCTAAACTCGCCTGTAACTTGAGGGTACAATGAGCCTTCTCAGAGAACTCCTCGTGCGGGAGGAAGGCCGGCGCAGAAACCTGTTGAAAACCTTGCTGTCATTTGAGCCACTGTACTTCTCTGTAAAATGGGTGAGATAGGGACGCCTCCCTCCCCGGCCGGCCGGCGTTTGTGGCAGTGGAGATACTCGTGTGCCACAAGAGCCCCGTCCTGAGTGGTGGCCCAGGCTGGGGAGCAGCCCTCCTCCCCCTGCCTATCAGGTGCCTCCCCAATCCCTAGCATCTTCGACCGCGAGGACCAGGCCAGCCCGCGGGCCGGCAGCCTGGCAGCCCTCGAGAAACGCCAGGCCGAGAAGAAGAAAGAGCTGATGAAGGCGCAGAGTCTGCCCAAGACCTCAGCCTCCCAGGCGCGCAAGGCCATGATTGAGAAGCTGGAGAATGAGGGCGCGGCCTGGTGAGCTGCGGAAAGGGACCGGCTCTGGGGGTGGGGCTTGAACATTGGCCGAGCAGAGACGGGAAGAATGCGCCGCTAGATCTGTGGTGCAAAGGCCGGAAGGTCATGGAAGGCGGGGCCGGGGATCTGCTCGGTGGGCCCACCGAGGCAGCACCTCTTACAGTCGTGTGACCTGGTCCTGACACCGTCCCTTCAGCAGCCCTGGCGGACCCCGCGCAGCCGTGCAGCGATCCACCAGCTTCGGGGTCCCCAACGCCAACAGCATCAAGCAGATGCTGCTGGACTGGTGCCGAGCCAAGACGCGCGGCTATGAGGTGAGCCCCGGAGGCCAGGGGCCTGGCTCAGACCCAGCTCAGCACCTCCCTCTTAGCAGAGCTCCTTTCATTCCCCGGTAACTTTCCGCCACTGTGTGGCCTCACAGGGAACATGAAAAGCCTCTTAAGGTGAGGAAACTGAGGCTCAAAAAGGACACAAGACAAGTCCTAAATTCCAGAATCAGTGATGAAGTGACAGGGCCTCTTGGGTGGTGAGCAGGGTTCAAGGCCAGATCCCACTCTTTGGAGTCCCCTCTTTGTTGCTGTGTAGGAGGCCCTGAGTCAATTTCTCTAACTGAGGGAAGGATTGATGAGGCATGACCATGACCTTAGCTGGGTGGTGCTGGGCCCCTCGGTAGCTCTGTCCCCGAAATCACAAACATGGGAGTTGACAGACTGATGGAGGAGGCGTGTGCTCTAACTATTCATTCATTGTGCAGCCTTGGACAAGTGACAGGGCCTCTCTATGCCCAGTGCCGTAGGTCTGGAATACCAGAATGCCGAGGGGTAGGCAGCAGGGGGAGTTGCCCGCAGGGTCCTGACCAGTCCTCCTATGGCTTATAGCACGTGGACATCCAGAACTTCTCCTCCAGCTGGAGTGACGGGATGGCCTTCTGTGCCCTGGTGCACAACTTCTTCCCTGAGGCCTTCGACTATGGGCAGCTTAGCCCTCAGAACCGACGCCAGAACTTCGAGGTGGCCTTCTCGTCTGCGGAGTAAGTGTGGGCCCTGGCCCTGCTCATGTTGCTGTGCATCTGGGGCTGGACATCAGGGCCAGGCCCAGTTGCCCTGAGAACCCCTGGAGCAGGCCGGCCACATTGTCAGTCAGCGGCTGAGACCCCCTTGCCCAGAGAGTCCCCGTCCTTCTCCATCCCTGCCCACCCGCTGCTGAGCGTGCCAGGTGCCCACCGGAACGAAGGAGCCACAGGCCGGCCTACCAGCCCCCAGCCCGGGCCGAGGCCCACCAGGTGGCCCTGTCCATATCCCCTCCATCCTCCCTCTGCCCCCTTCTCCCTCTCTCCCTTTCTCTGTCCTGCTCTCCTCCCACTGTCACTAGAGCTTCCTGCTCCCACGGGATCCCGGCTGGAGATTCCAAAAGGAGGCTCCTGGCCCGGGCACCGGGCCCGCCCAGCCTATATAGTCCTGCCAGAGGCTTATATAGGACCTCAGCAAGCCCTCCACTTTGGAATCGTTGCCCCATCTGCTCACCTCACCCTCAGCACCCTTCTCCATCTGTCTCCCCTTCTCTCCCCTGCTCTTTCTGGTTTCCCTCAAATTTCTTCCTTCTCCTCCTCCTCCCCCTCCTCCCTCCACCTCTTCTCACGCCTCCCTCACCCCCTCTCCTCGGGGCACAGCCCTCCTCTCAAACCTTGGTGCCAACACCATCGCCCCCACCCTGCGTTCCCGCTTGTCCCTAGAGTCCTCTGCACCTGTGACTGGTTTGGCCCCCACCCCTGTCTGCATCGCACACCATTAGCGACGGGTAGTGAGCGGCACATCCACAGTGAGGAGGTGGCATGCGGGGGGCTGGCAGACTGCAGCACTGGAGACGTAACTGAACTCTTGTCTCTGTGTGTGTGTGTGTGTATGTGTGTGTCTCTCTGTTTCCTCCCCTCTCTCTTCTCTGCCTCTTCCCTCTGTTCCCCACCCGGGGCCCTGGCCTCCTGCCCCCGTCCCCCACCCCTTCCCGGCCCCCTACCCTCCCCAGGACCCATGCGGACTGCCCGCAGCTCCTGGATACAGAGGACATGGTGCGGCTTCGAGAGCCTGACTGGAAGTGCGTGTACACGTACATCCAGGAGTTCTACCGCTGTCTGGTCCAGAAGGGGCTGGTAAAAACCAAAAAGTCCTAACCCCTGTTCGGGGCCCCACGGTGAGAAATGCCGCCTCTCCCACTTGCCCCGTTTCACCAGAATCTGCTCAGCAAGGCACAGAGAGGGTCCAGGGAGGTGGGTGGGGGAAGTAAAGGGGGGCATTTAGTCAAACCAGAGGAGCCAGACATGGCCCTGTCTTCTTGTAGTTCAGGGCCCAGCAGGCAAAACCATTCCAAATGGGCAGTGATGATGCAGGTGAGCAGCACTGTGATGGGGAAGCCCAGGGGAGGCACCTGACCCAGGCTGCAGGTCTGGGACCCGCATCTGAAAAAAGTGCAAACTAAGCTGGGATCTGAACAAGTTCAGGCTAAAGGAGGGAGAGGAAGTTCCGGGGAAGAGGGATCAGCCTAGGCTTTGCAGGGCAAGAGAGCTGGAGAGTGCAGCACACAAGGAAGGGAAGAAACTTGAGTCTGGATGTGAGGAAGGAGGAGGGGTCCACAGTAAGAAGTTTGACCTTCAGGCCAGGTACCTTAGCTCACGTCTGCAATCCCAGCCCTTTGGGAGGCCAAGGCGGGTGAATCGCAAGGTCAGGAGTTTGAGACCAGCCTGACCAACATGGTGAAACCCTACCTCGACTAAAAATACAAAAATTAGCTGGGTGTGGTGGTACGTGCCTGTAATCCCAGTTGCTCAGGAGGCTGAGGCAGAAGAATCACTTGAACCTGGAAGGCAGAGGTCACAGGGAACCAAGATCATGCCACCGCACTCCAGCCTGGGCAACAAAGCGAGACTTCGTCTCAATTAAAAAAAAAGTTTGACCTTCTTCCAGAGGACAATAGGAGTTATAAAGGGTTTCCAAACAGTGGATGGATGTGGTCAGAGCAGCATTCTAGAACAGTCCTTGGATGAGGCTTGTACAAGAGATGGGATGGACTAGATGGCTGGAATAGCTTAAGAGCTAGAAGGACAGGCTTCCCAATAGATCTGGTTTGGAGAGAGAGAGGGAAAGTCAAGAAGTCAGCCAGGCTCCTACGTGGGCACTGGGGAGTTGGTGGTGCTATACTCCGAAGTTTGGAACTCAGGAGCATGTCCAGTTCAACAGGAAGATGTTTCTGGCTGGGGATTCTGGATCCTAAGCCAGCTGTGGCATCTCCTCTCTGGTCACCTTACCTCAGTATCAAAGTAGAGAATTCAGATCCTGAACTAACTGCCTGTTACAGACAAGGAGCTCAGAGAGAGCGAGGTGAGCTAAGACTGTCCTGGGAGTAGGAGGGAGAGGGAAGATGGTTAGGTCAGAGCTGGGGCCAGAAACTGGGACTCCAGCCTCCTCACTTAGTGACTGTTTTCCTTGCCTCATCACTGCATTCCTGCCCATTTTGTAGAGAGGATTAAACATAAAGGCCAGAAGGAGCAAGGGGATTGCCTGAAGGAATGTAAGTCAGTGACAGGTAGGGGCACACTCAGATGTCCCTTGGGGCCTGGAGCCATTGTGGGGGGCAGTCCACATGTGCACACACACACTCAGAGGAGGAGTGCAGGTGAGGGGAGGATGGGGTTGGTACTATCTCCAGGTCATATATGGCCTTAGGAGCTGCTGCCCAGCAAGCCAGCTTGGAGGGAGAGGGGCCCAGCCCAGCCCTGATCCAGTTGGAAAGTGTGACTCAGCCGTGCTGTTGCTCAAGTTGCCTGGTGTTTGGCTTGTCACTGGGGCAGCCCGAGCCCTGAGCCCTGAGCCATGCGTGAGCCCCAGTGTAAACAATGGCTTTATAAGGTCTCCAGGGAAGGGAGTGGGGGCAGGAGGGAGCACCAGGTTGGAGAGGGAGGTCGGGATCTCCGGGACGATAGTTACAGCTGGAAGAAGCCTCTGCCTCATGGTACAGCTCAGGAAACAAGCCCGGTCTGGGGTAGGGATGATCCCAGGGGCACGTGGCACATCAGCAACAGACCCAGAACCCTCTCATTCATCCTAAGTTCTTCTAAGGTCTCAAATGAGGTAGGGAATGACTGTCCTCTTCTAGAAAGGGGGAAACTGAGTCATAGAACAGGGCCCTATCTAGCACCCACAACTGGTTAGGGATAGACTCTGGACTAAAACAGAGGTGTTCTGCCTCCCAGGTTTCTTCCTTGAAGGAGTCCAGATGAGCTGGGAGTAGGCGCAGCCCTGCCACAGTTCTGAGTTTGTCCATAAAGGCACAAAATGGGAGGTGGTCTTGGGTGTCTTGAGAATAAGGAGCAATTCTTGCTATTATGCCTTCTCTGCTATAGGAAACTCATTCAGCAACACTCACTGAAATCTTGCTATGTGCTAGGCATGGCACATAGGAGAGGGCAAACAGGGATCAAGGCAGAAAAGGTCTTGCTCTGGGGGTTGAGGGACAGGGGAAAGGAGCCAGAGAACAGACTCCAGCTTCAGAGCCCTGGGGCTGTCAGTTGCTTAATAGGCAAGACCCACTCACCACAGAGTGGGAAAGAGGCTTTGCCAACATCCAGAGCTGGAGGCCTCAGTCCCATGTGGCCCAGCCTGCACTTACTAAGTTGTGAGACTTCAAAAAAATGGGTCTTCTGCCCTGTGACTCAGTTTCCTTATCTGTGAAGGGCAGCTAGCATTCTGAAGGATGGCCAGAAGTGTGGTCCCACCCCTGAGCATGGGGTAGATGGTCCATTGGTATTGGCTGGAATCCTCATCTGCCTCCCCTGCTCTACCCAAGGCAGGTGATAAGGGTTAGAGAACCCCTCTGCTGCCCACACACTCCCTGGACTCCATCTCTAGCAGCAAGGTTATCCCCACCCCACTTCAAAGAACAGGGGTCCCTGGGCCACTCAGCAGGAAGTACCAGGTCAGGCAGCTAGCAAACAATGATCAGGGGACCATAGGATCGCTGGAGTGAGACCTGTCCATAGAGAAAGATTGTCCAGTGATGAAGCCCATCTGGGTGCAAAGGCCCAGCGGAAAGGCTTCTATCAACTGGAGTGTGCCAGTGAGTGTGAGCAGAAGCAGGGCTCCAGGGAGAACGTGGGCAGGGTTTGGATCCAGCCCCTCCCCAGGGTTGGAGGAAGCAGACCCAGGACCTGCCTGGGTCTGATATGGGGCTCTCTTAGGCCGTCTCCGCCTCCACCTGCCTAGCTCTGCTCCCCTGCCCCAAGAGATGCCTTCAGGCTTGGGTGGATGAAGCCAGGGGATTCCTGCCTTCCTGGAAGGGTTTTCCCTGTCTGGAGTTTATGAAAGACTAGCAGGCAATGCGGCAATAAAAAAGACCACGGGGTAGGAAGGGTGCCACGAGAGGCAGGGCCGGCGCTGACATCCATCCCCGTGCCCCCTCCCTGCAGGATGCTGGTGGACTGCGTGCCCCTCGTGGAGGTGGAGGACATGATGATCATGGGCAAGAAGCCCGACCCCAAGTGTGTCTTCACCTATGTGCAGTCGCTCTACAACCACCTGCGGCGCCACGAACTGCGCCTGCGCGGCAAGAATGTCTAGCCTCCCCGCCCGCACGGCCCGCCAGTGGCAAGCTGCTGCCCCCACCCTCCGGGCACCGATCCCTCCCTGTGCGCCCGCCCACCGCTGCCCTGTCTGTCGCGACACCCTTCCCCCACATACACACGCAGCGTTTTGATAAATTATTGGTTTTCAACGATCCTGACTCCTCCCTTTGTCTCCTCGGGGGGGAAGGGGGTTTGAACCGAAGGCAGTTCGGCAGTCTCCGACTGCAGCGGCCAGACACTTGGGGATGCGGGGGTCCTCGGCGGCTCCACTTCCGACCCCCTACCCCACCCTCCCGCAGCAACAAAGAGTCAAGCCTCAGTTAAGGCGGGAGGGAATTTAGTGGAGCTGGGGAGGGAAGAACGCAGGGTTGGGAGAGCCTCCCCAAGCCCACCGCTGCTGGCCCGGGGACGGGGCATCCGCGCTCAGCAAGGGAGGTACTCCCGGGATGCTGAGCGCTTCATCTGTCTCCAGGGCCCAGGCAGGGTGGTCCCAGCTCCGCCGCTCCCCCGGACCTACAGGTCAGCGTGGTCCGAAGTTCCCTCCGGGGGCCTAGAGGGCGCCCACACGTACTCGGGGGGCACCTGCGCGTCGGGCGCCGCCTTGCGGTAGAAGCCGAGCTCCTGCACCAGCGCGTTGATCTCTGCGCGGGTCATTTCGCTGAGCGGAATGCGCTGAGGCGGAGGAGGGGCGGGGTCAGCAGGCGGGGCTCGGCCTCGGGCCCCGCCCACGGCCCGCCTCCCACGGCCTCACCTCCAGTTCCTCGTGGCGGCGGCCCAGCAGCACGAGCTCGGGGTCGGCCCCGGGGAGGTGTTTCATCACCAGGTTGTGGCTGGAGGTGGTGTTAAGGTGGGCGGTGGTGGGCAGAGGGAGGTGGGGGTTCCCGCAGCCTTACTTATGGGAACAGCATTTCCTCCTTTGCTGAGCACTTACTCTGTGCCAAGAGGGGCCGGGTTCCCCGCTTGTGCATGAGAAAAGTAGGGTTCAAAGAAATAAAGGGCCCTCTGGCAGTCATCACTAGTCAGTCTCTTTCCCACCCAATATGGAGACCACCTCAGAATCCTCTGGGCGGCCACCTCCAATCAATTCCACTTGTCAGGTGAAAACTATCTGCCACCTCTATCTGAAGTTAAGTGGAGGCCGGGCGCGGTGGCTCAAGCCTGTAATCCCAGCACTTTGGGAGGCCGAGGCGGGTGGATCACGAGGTCGAGAGATCGAGACCATCCTGGTCAACATGGTGAAACCCCGTCTCTACTAAAAATACAAAAAATTAGCTGGGCATGGTGGCGCGTGCCTGTAATCCCAGCTACTCGGGAGGCTGAGGCAGGAGAATTGCCTGAACCCAGGAGGCGGAGGTTGCGGTGAGCCGAGACTGCGCCATTGCACTCCAGCCTGGGTGACAAGAGCAAAACTCCGTCTCAGAAAAAAAAAAGAAAAAAAAGTTAAGTGGAGATTCTCCCAGGTGCCCACCCCATTCCCCCTCCCCCAGAAGAGAAGGATACTAGAATGGAATGTCCTGAGTGACGAAAGCCTTCACCTGGGGAGGAACCAGAGCATCAGAGAACATGGCCCCAGTCCCCTCTAGGTACAGTCAGGACACTGAAGCCCAACAGGGTCATAAAGCAAGTCAACTGCCGGCTCCTGACTCTCATCCTAAGGGTCCCCCCCCAACTCCTAGTCACTGGGACCATGTTGCCCACTCCCCAAGAGGCTCAGGGGGAACAGAGATAGGGACCCCTTCTTTCAAACTCACCTCCTTTAGGCGGTTCAGCTGTCATCCGCCACAGGTCTGGAGAGGTATAAAATGCGATAGGTCAGGAGTCCTTCACATTTATCCCAGCCACACCCCCAAAGCCATACATCCTTATCCCTGAGTTGGGTTGGGCTGTGAGTTACCCCTGAATCAGCAGTTCCCAAGGTATGAAGGAGATGCTAGCCTCTTGTGGGCAGAAGGGGAAACTGTGTATACAGGTTGGGAGACTCAGGCCTAGAGACACCAGGGGAAAAGAGCAAGGCCAGAGACCCACAGGGTGCCAGCCAGCCTTGGGGCCTGTATATCCTATTGGCTGTTGACTGACTCTTAATGCCCAGGGGAAATGATGACCCTGCTCCTCTTAAACAGTACAGACCTGGGCTTGGCTTTTGACCCCTGAAATCTCACAGTGGAGACAGACCAGAAGGAAACGCCTCAGAATGGTCCTAGGGGCCCCCATTAGAGACACCTACCATCTGGTCCTACCCTACACAGGCAGACCTTGCCCTGCCTGCCACCTGTGGCCCAGCCCCACAGACCATCTGGTTGCTTCCCTGACATGGGAGGATGGGAAGGATCCTCCTGCCTTCCCTGAGGAGGCACCACCATCCAACAGGAGTCCAGACCCCAGGACTACCCACTCCAGCCCTCCTCCATCCTACTCTCACCCCTTTTCTTAGAGACAGGGTCTCACTATGTCCCCCCAAGGTGGTCTTGAACTCCTGGGCTCAAGCGATCCTCCTGCCTTGGCCTCCCAAAGTGCTGGGATTACAGGCATGCACCACCAGCACCCAGCCATCCTACACCTTTTTGTCAGACAGCGCTCACAAAAAGCACAGAGAAGGGCTGTGATGGTCAAAGTCACATAGCAAGACGCGGACTCCAAAGGGGAATTTCCTGTCGGGGGGAGGATGGGAGGCTGCAGCAGAGTAAGTGTTAGCAACCAAGTTCCCAACTCGGTTCCCCGTCGAGCTGGCCCCCTTCCCGGGCTCCTGCATGAGGGAAGGAAGCACCCAGAAAGTCTTCTCTCCCCCCAGGAGTAGGAAAAGAGACTTTCTGGAGCCTCGAGCCCTGGAACTGGGTGGGGGAGGAATTCCAGGAAAACATGAAGTGATGGGGGATGGGAAGTTGGGACAGGCTTGTGAGTCACAGGCCACGAGGAGAGTTAGGAGACTGTCAGTGTGTCTGGGGGTCCGTTGTCGGGCCGGGTAGGGGGAGCTGGGGAAGGGCTCGGAGTTTCAGGCCGCAAAGTCAGTGTCTCAGGCTTCCACTGTGGATGCGGGGGCCATCCTGGGGCTAGGGAACAGGAGAGATGGCCCCGGCGCCAGGGGAAAGCAGTGAGGCTCGAGGTTCCAGGTGGTCCTGGGGCTGGGGCGGGCGGTGCTCCCTTGGGGCCGCAGGATTGGGAGACCGTGGTGCCGGGGCTGGAGGCCGACGTACTCACCTCTACGCGGGCGCGGGACAGGCCTCTCAGACGGTTCCAGTCCGGCCGATAGGTAGTGGCGGCTGTGGCTGGAGCCGCAAGCGCCGCGAGAAGCAGCAGCAGCGGCAGCGGAGGCAACAAGAGGTTCATCGGGACCCCGGCCGCAAATGATGCGCAAGCTGGAGGCGAACCTCCGAGTCCCTGCGCCACGTCTGGGCCTGCAGGATGGCCCCGCCCCCGCCCCGCCCCGCCCCGCCCCGCCCCGCCCGAGGCCCCGCCCCCGCTTGAGACCACGCCCCCAGCGCTTGGTTTCCGCCCCAGGGCTCCCCATCGTAGGTTCCCGCTAGCTCCGGGCGAGGTCCCGGCTTTTTCCTCGTCTTGGGGTTTCTGCTTTCCCAGGTCCAAGAGTGTTCACGCTCCTTTTGCCGACCGAGTGTAGACGCTCCAACGGGATGCAGTCAGGCAGTGCCACCTCACGCCTGCAGAGGGCGCAGGCGAGACGCTGAGGGACACTGGAGTTTCTGAGCCAAAACTGCGACGAGAGACAGAGACAGAAGAGAGAGAAAGAGAGAGAGAGAGAGAGAGAGAGAGAGAGAGGAGAGAGAGAGAAAAAAAGAAGAAAAAGTAAGATAGATAGAAACTGGCTTTCTCAGGAGTCCTCGCTTTAGAGCGTAGGAGATGGGGAGTGAGGTTCGGTGGAGGGGTGCGGCTTTTGGAAGCTACTGAGACCGGCCAGGGTGTTTTCTACCATTCACAGCTGCTGCTGAGCAGACGCTCTGTCCTGGGGTGGGGAAAGAAATTTGCTACTCAAAGGTGGGAAAATGCAAGGAAGGTCACAGCTGATAGGCCACGATGGGATCTTAAATCAGCTGGGCTATATTTACGGAGTCAGGATTTACTTTTTTTCCGTGTGGCTATCCAATTGAACTAAAAAGATTGTCTTTTTCAGGACTACTCTGCAGCGTTACCTCTGTTATATACAAATAGGCAACTATGGCCGGGCGCGGTGGTTCATGCCTATAATCCCAGCACTTTGGGAGGCCTAGGCGGGGAGATCACTTGAGGTCAGCAGTTTGAGGCCAGCCTGGCCAACATGGTGAAACCCCATCTCTACTAAAAATGCAAAAATTAGCTGGGCATAATGTGGGCACCTGTAATCCCAGCTACTCGGGAGGCTGAGGCAGGAGGATTACTTGAACCCAGAAGGTGGAGGTTGCAGTGAGCTGAGATTGCGCTGTTGCACTCCAGCCTGGGCGACAGAACAAAACTCTGTCTCAAAAAAAAAATAAATATATAAAAATAAATATATGTGAGTCTACTTCTGAATATAGTATGCTATTCTAGTCCTCCAGTCCATTTGTCTAACTACACCATCTTAACTATAGCTTCATAGTCAGACTTGACATTTGATTGTTTTTGTCCTCTAGCTTTGTTCTTTCTAGTTCTTGTTTTGTTTTGTTTTTCTTTTTGAGATGGAATCTCACTCTGTCTCTCAGGCTGGAGTCCAGGGGTACAATCACAGCCTGAACCTCCCAGGCTCAAGCAATCCTCCCACCTCAGCCTCCTGAGTATCTAGGACTGCAGGCATGCACCACCATGCCCAGCTGTTTTTTGTTTGTTTGTTTGTTTGTTTTGGTGGTGGTGGTGTTTTTTGAGATGGAGTTTCGCTCTCGTTGTCCAGGCGAGACAGAGTTTCACCATGTTGGCCAGGCTGCTCACAAACTTCTGACCTCAGGTAATCCACCTGTGTTGGCCTCCCAAAGTGCTAGGATTACAGGTGTCAGTCACTGAGCCTGGCCCACCCAGCTGATTTATATTGCCCAGGCTGGTCTTAAACTCCTGGGCTCAAGTGATCCTCCTGCTTTGGCCTCCCAAAGTGCTGGGATTACAGTCATGAGCCACCATGCCTGGCCTGTGGTCTGCATTTTCCTGCAGTGAGGACCACGTGTGAACCCACAGCATCAGTGAGCCACCGCAT